ATCCAGTTTCGTCATTGAGTATCTGTCCTAATGTTCTACTTGGTTGGCTACTCTGGTCACGACTTCTCACTGGAACTTGCAGTATCATCTCGCGAAGATAGTCATAGATGAACACTAGAAAAATTTAATTTAGGTTCGAACCCTGGCGGGGTCATGGATGCGCACCGGTGAGGGGCCCCATACTTGGACGAAATAGCCATTCAGTGCCCTCAGGTTTTCAGTGCTTTCTCCAACTGAAGTAAGTCCATGGTGGGGAATACTACCCCAAAATTAAAATCCCTCCATTCACCTTAAAATACATTTATCATATTAACCGACAAATCTACATGGCTGGTTCAACCATATATATGAGGCTATTTGCATTAGAGCAAAGCCTGAAGAGGATCTTACTGAGAACAATATTGTTCACTCATGTTTCGAAGATACCCAACCAACAACAAGAAGCACCAATGTGAGAAATCTAAACTAAGTTGTTTCCTCCACCTACCTACCCACCCACCTACCTACCTACCTACCTAATCACCTACCTGCCTACCTACCTACACACCTACCCAACTATCTAGACACCATCGTTCCAACTACAGGCAACACAGACACAGGGGGAGTTGTGAATGTCAGGATCAGAGCTACATCAAGACACGCCTTCCTTCATTAATCTGTAGAGATCAGTGTGGAGATCTACCCCACTTCACTGCACTGCACTACTACACTACACTACACTCAGCATAAACAACAAGGTCTGGATTTTGAACACGAAGTCAGTCAAGTCACTGCATCTGTGTGATGGTTGAAAGACTTGGCGTATTACGAAAAGCATTTCCAACAAATTTCAAACATACATCAACAGCTGCCGCCTACGTTCACTCCATACTGAAGATCAGATTGATGGCCAGAAAGAATAAGCAGGGTTGATCTCTGGCCTGGAAATGAACCAAGGGAGCAAGAAGCTACTGCCTAACAGAAGAAAGCGGAGATGGATTGGATGGGATACGCACTGAAGAGATGGTTTGGGGGGACATCACGCATCAGCCCAGGCGTCGAGTGGAATCGAAATGGGAAACGATGAGTTGGGAGTCGGAGGGTGACATGGAGGAGATCGTGTGAGGAAGTAAGGAAAGCTTCTGGGCAGTTGTGGAGCCAGATTAAAAGGATTACAGAAAAAAGAGCGACGTTCTATTGAAGCTTTATGTTCCATCAGGAACCCAAGAGACAAATAATAATATGTTTTGTTCCAATCACTATTATCGTCATTAATCCTAGTTAAGAAATCCTTATCGGTCCACACTTGTGGACTTTCAGTCTATTTCTGCATTTGATAACTGTACACCATTCATTTAGCTTGATTCGAGTAATCCACCATTCTTCACTACATTGAAACTGGTCAAAATTCACGGAGTAAAGTCAACTGATTTCCAATAATACATACTTCCAACTGCGTAAAAATTTGTTTTAATTGTCCTTATGATTACTTCCAATACTCATTAGTGACTCGCTTCTATGTGAATTTCTTCAAGTCCCATCTTATAGCTACAATATGAGGAGTTGACAGAGTCGGATTTTGTTGTTTCTGACAGACTGTTGTTGTAAAGATGATAATGATGATACGAATCGAGAAAGCAACATGAAAATGTCGAAACTACCATAGTCGAAATGGGTTAAGAGGTTGCTTATAAAAATAAAAGTTACGTAATACTGAAGGGCGAAATAAGTGATGAGTACTACGTCGAAATTGGCTTCAGCTGTGCATAAATGGTGGAAACATAAGCCATTGAAGTAGTTCAATTTAACCTTACAAGTCACCTTAAATGATAAATCTTTAGTGGTTGAATGTCGGAACTTCATTAGATGTTCACCTAAGGATAAAGTTGTTATTCTTCGTTCCCCTTTGATAAACCAAACCTCATCCAAAGTTTGCAAATTTACTTAATGCTTAACTTATTGATACTGAATGATAATTGAAGGTGAAGAGAAAATTTTGGACTTCGGCGGGATTCGAACCAGCGACCACTGATACACGTCTGCCAAACCATGAATGTTTAAAACAGTTAAGATAACAGTTGAATTATTCAATTCAGATTTTGATTATAAAGTCTATAAAAGTCATTTCTAACCGTAACAATGAAGATCTTTTATCGTTTCATACAAAACAATCATCGATTTTGTGTGATGAGATAACGATACTGGTAACATGGTTACATTACAATATTACTAATCTCCAGGGAACGTTCGAAAAACAGCAAGAGTTTAACTACACGAAAAAGTTAAAAATGACGTTTTCTTATATTGATCCAGATTATTAGTAGAGGAATCAAGGACTCGCGTTTCGTGCTATTTAGGACTTATCAACTGGCATTTTATTGATGAATATATTCGTGTAAATTGAAACATTAAAAGGAATGAAGCTAATTTAGATCTTAACATCGGTATGGTATTTATAAAGAGGGTACAATTAGTTCCGTTTCTCCTTAAATGAATTACTTTGAAACGTTAATGATAGAACATATTTAATACTCATCAGGAAGGGGCGGAAAAGGGGTCGGGTGGTATTCACTGTGAATTAAGTTTTATTTGGCAAACGTTACGCTATCACACTAGATGTTGATATCAGTTCATTAATGTTTCACAAGAAATCTTATTGAAGTATAACCTCAAAGATATCTTTATTGTAGATTTATTATTTTCATAGACGTATTTTTCTATAGATTGTTACAAAGTAAACCTGTTCAGGACAGAAAATTGGCTTTTTTTCATAAAAAAAAACTTGCTTCAAATTATTTAAGAGTGTTTATGATTTTTAGAATTGGCCAGTTAGTCACCTCATTGCAGTGTCCAAAGCGGATTTAGCTTCAATCTATTAAGTCATTCGGCTGTGTTTCATTTGTTCAAGCACTCAACTTACAATCAGTAGGTCGTCGGTTCAAACCCCGTTCCATCTACCAAATTTTGATCGGCTAGGTAACTGTTACACACTTGGCGTGACTCACTACTGCCTACAAAACGAACAAGCACATGTTAGCTGAATGTATCTGGATTATTTTGACATTCGTTGATATCATGATATGACTGAACCACTTTCCTTTATTTTGGTTAACTACTTCTATTTCATTGCCATTGTTGTGGAAAAGTTGCAAACTGCGTATAAACTAGCAGTAGGTATGCTGAATTAAAGAACAAGATCCGGATTTTCAACACCAACGTCAAGTCAGTGCTCCTATATAGTTCAGAGACTTGGTGCGTCACGAAACGTATTTCCAACAAACTACAGACATTCATCAACAACTGCCTACAATGGCTCGTCACTGAAGATCAGATGGCCAGAAAGAATCAGCAACAAGAAACTCTGGCAACAAACCAACCAAAAACCTATCACTTAACAAATATGCACTGGAAGGTAGTGGAGATGGATCAGACATATACTGACTGAGAAGACCATTCAGGTACATCATGCGCCAGACCAGACCCTCTAGTGGAACCCAGATGAGAAACGATGAGTTGGGCCTCCCACCTGAGGGTGACATAGAGGAGATCATGCGAGGAAGAAATAAGAGCTTGTGGGAGGCAGTCGTGGAGCCAGGTTGAAAAGATTGCAGAGAACACAGTGCACTGGAGACGTGCTACTGAAGCCCTATCTTCCACTAGGAACTCAAGGGACAAACAATATAATAATAATATGGTATGCTGAATGTAAATATCGCATGTTACGGGGACTTTATTCAGTCAGGAATACTATTCTTCAATGTTCAACTCATAAGGATTGAAAATGGGCTAATAATCATGTCGGGAGTTTGAAGTAGTGTAGTGAGCGTTGCTGTTAAGAATGATTGTAAGTAGTATATGTTGAGAGGGTGGCACAAATCATAGGGAATTACCAGCAGTGGGTAAAGATTCCACCAAGAGAAACGCAAGAGACAAGGCAGGCGTATAAAGAGTAAATCAAGAAAGAAGCAGAAGAAGAAATGAAGCACATTTTGCGAATGACGGTTTTAGTACAAGGTGTACCATATTTAACGACAACTATCCCGCTTGTCGACAATAAACGCCTCTTCCTTCATACCTGTCTTCTTGCTTCTTTCACGCGAATATGACAGCTACCTTACATTTTATGTGCTAGTAGGCGATCCAACATTAGATGAATTTTAGCTTCCTTGAGACAGTTCAGTGTATATACATCAGTTTGACTGTAATTTGTGAAGAGTTCTTCTTACAGGCTTTTATGTAGATGTTCGTACCATTGACAGTGAGCAATATCGATCGTATGAGTGCTTATGCTACTACCTCACTGCTCAGACATCAAGGAATGGAATGATTTTCAAACCTGTGACCTACTGGAAGGGCAAACTCAACCATCAACACCCTCTACATACGCCATTCGGTCACAAAGCTTACCTCTGTAAGCAACCAACACATCTAACCATCGAATTTATTTTGAACAGGTGTTTACAAACTCAGCGTTTTCACATTCTTGTAAATTTTACTACAATCAATGGTTATAGTTCCCCTGGTAGCTAGGGAAGGAATCCAAGAAGAGCGTTTTATCCTGTTTGGAACCAACTTTTCATCTTTGGTGAATGATGTTGTTCTGCATGATACCCTAACCAACCAATACCTATTGCTTTAAACAGTAATGCATTACCCATTAGGCCACCGGGGTACCAGTACTACTTCTTTCGCACCAATAATCACAAATTGCACGATTGGGGAAATAATCACAGGTAAAATTTGAAAGATGGGCTGATTGATAACGTGTATATCATAAGATATGACTCTGTACCGATTGATTCCTAATGGTAGCACTGTTGTTCGCTACTGAAGAGTCTTAAACTGAGGCGAAACACTTGTCCGATGCTACATGACTCTCAACAATTCTTCGTGATGAAAACCACTTTGAAATAAACCTACTCTTTATTTCTACACAGTTCTTCAACTCATCTATAGGAAAGTATAGCTTTTTGATAGAATAAAATAGGAATCAGTTATTATTCAGCAAAATATTCACAAACCTTTGACCAACAGCCATCTTTCTAGCAGCAGCTCTTGCTGCTGCATTATTACCAATTATTCCATTATTAGTTTTATTTATAAAGGAATCACGGGATTTGACATCATAACCACCATTATCCGCTTCAACACCACTACCTCCATCACTGTCCAATATTTGTTGAGCTTTCAAAGTTGAATTTATGTCATCATTGGAACCGATGACACCTGGAACACCAGTATTATTATTATTATTATTGGAAATCTGTTGTTGTGTTGATGATTTATGCTCCGGTTGTGTACGAAAACAATTCTTGCATACAGATCTACGCCATTGTTGTGGTTCAAAGGTGAAACATTCCTTTTTACTTTTATTATTTCCACTTGATAAAGATAATCCTATTGTATTCGTACTAGTAGGAGGAGGTGTAGTCACATTTGATGTAAGCGATTGTTGAGTTTGTGATAGTTGTGATGGAAGTGAGGAACGTCGAAGTAATCCACTATCAGAAGACATTTATTATTATCAGTATTATTACTATTATTATTATAGTTATTACCGATAGAAGTATTAGCAATGGTATGTACAAGTAGATTTTTGCCTATTGAGCATAATGTCGAAAGTTGACTGATGAAAGAGAGAGCTTGAAAGATGTCAAGAAGTATATTGCTCTGTTGACCTTGACAGATGAATCATTTCGATGATAGTGGTCACTTCTTTTCCTTGAACGAAAATGTATTATAAATTATTTCTTCTTGTACCATGTGATTATTGACGGATTGATTTACCAGAAACTCCTTCTTTGTTTTTTCTGTCTGTTTATGTGTGTGAGAGAGAGAGAGGGAGAGAGAGAGAATGAGAGATATAGTTGACACACTCTTTTCTCCTACCGTAGTTTATGATGTAATGTTTTACAATTTATTTTGACCTTAAATCGTAGGAGAAAATGAAGAGATAGCGAATGAGAGAATGAGAGAGAGACTTTTCTCTCAAGCTAACGTCTACTACTCAGTAGTTGATGACGTCAGTCAATGGATGAAAGCGAAAAGTGGTCTACTGCGTATCAGTGATGAATAAATTTCTTCACATACACCTACCCAATGATAAACAATGTGTAATAGATTTTATTCAATGTCAAGGTGATTGGTACTTTCTTCTTGAAGTCTTAGGTACAACAATTGTCTCCAGAGAAGGGAGAATGTACCACATGTGTGTATCTCCTTGGCAATAGCGGGGAATAGTTTATCTTAAAGTTTGTCTATCCACCTTCTTCACATATAGACATACGCACAGTCCAGCACCATACCACACAACACACTCTTCAACCTTTTTATCCAACTGTCTCCCATCCATAGGCGCTATATGATTGATCGATTCATTCTCTGGTAGGATACTTGTAACTATGTGTGTATTCTGATGTATATGAGTGTGTGTCTGTAGCTTTATGTAGAAGATGCAGGAAATGGTGCCGGATTAGACAAAAACTGACAGTACAGTGTAATTTCTCCCCAGTAATAGGTAAGATGTCTAAGCCTCTAAACTAAACATTTAAATATTGAACTATGCCTATCTATTTTAGTCCAGTTGAAGAGGGGTAAGAATGAAAGGTGAACATTCTCTTACGCCATGAAATACATTCACACACACACATACAAGCATTCAAGCACCCGACGTGTCTTTTTCGATGTCTTTCTTGTATATGTATTACAAATGACTCTAATTTACAGAAAATTAAATGAATGAATATTGATTCGAAATATGAAGTGAATACTTTCAGACAATATATTCTGGTCAATATACTAAGATTTTAAGGTCATACACATTTTGATGCTGGTTAGAAGATAATACCAAACTAACCAACCTTGAAATGAATGTATGATATTGCAATGATTGTGATTGCGCTGTTGATTTACATAAACAAAAATAAACATATCATGAATTGAAACAAGTTGGGAACTATGAACCACTTAAAAGCTACCCACTGGCTGAATGTTTAACTGGTTCACCATGAAACCCGAAGGTCCTGAGTTCGATCCCTAGCCAGGAGGGATGCCTCGATACTGCCTAGGTATTATATTGTACTCATCTTGGTGACTAACAGGAGGACCCAGATTAACGAGTATTTTGTCCTATTTGGCACGGAATCGTCATATGTATGTACCTGCACTTCAGTAGGTACAGCATACCTCACTGTGGTGTAGGTACATTTCGCTGAGGAGTCCATGCCAAAGAGGACGAAATGCTAGTTACTCTGGATTTCATTACTAGTCAGTAAGATGAGTAAATTAATAAGAAATATCGAAAAACAATTCAATGAAAAGAATTTTTCTCTCTGACGAATTATTTTAAATATTTGTACATCGTAATTATAGTGACAACGAAATATATACACCCATCAATGACAAATAGGTCAATACAAGGTCATCAGAAGCGGCGAATAAGTTCACAAAATGATAACAGCTAGAAAGTCAAACCAAGGTCATATAAAGTTGTTCATAGGATTGAAGTAGGTAAACACAGAGATAGACAAACTATCTTGAGGAGATTACGATCAAGACAAAATTGGAGATTGAATGTACCTTTTTTGAACACAAAGAGTAGGCTTATAATACTGAATTACTACAGCTTCTAATGTATTGATCTGGCGATTACATACTTGCTTCGAAATGTTTGCCTTCACTTTACAAATAACTTTGAAAGAAGACTGTCATGGACTACAATGACCAGGGATAACTAAATGCTCAAGAATCCAGCTGTTCATGGCTTCAGACAGCCATAAAGGTTAAAGTTCGGAGATGTGTTTGAATAGAACAGGCTTTGTACGACTTATGTAACCATCTCCACAATAGCAGGTCAATTGGTAAAGACACATGGAGGTGGTTCAAAAGGCTAGTTAATCCTTAACACACCTTAGAATTAGTTGTTGACTGGAGAAAAAAAATCCAAAGTTGAATGGTTAAGAAGGTCTTCTGTAGTGCTTTGCACAGTAAATCCTTCAGTATAGCTGCCAATGTATCTCCCTTGAATCCAATATTCAAAAACAGTGTCATTTTTGGGACCATATGGGATTCTTCTTTGAAATTTTCAGGTCTCATATTCTTCTCAACGAACCTTGAAGGATAACTACTCCCAACTAAAGACTCATTCCAGCATTTCCAGCTCCTCAGTCACTGCATCATCCGTACAAATTGTTCTAATTCGTGTGCACAATGAGTGAATTAGATTTCTTTTCGTAACTGGTGGAACTCAGCTGTGATCATGAGTATACTGACCATTCTAGATTCCTTTTCTGTAATTCGATCATGTCTTCTTCTTAAGTGAACATCTAGGAGGTGGAGGCTGAGTAGAGTCCCGGGAAAAGCAAGTCGGAGAAAATCAGGCAGCCTTTAGACCCGGCCGCAAGTGTATCGACCAAATATTCACACTGCACCAGATTTTGGAACATATGCCTGCTTATCAACGCCCAAAAGTGAGTGTATTTCTTGACCTGAAGGCGGCATTCGACTCCGTTGATACTTGAAGTCTTACGGCAATGTCTATCACTGAAAGGCGTCCCGAGTAACTAAAACGCCTTATTGAAGGTTCTCTACTCTAACAATTGCGGACGTGTTAGAGCCTATGCTGTGATGTCCAGGGAGCTATGCTCATCGAGTGGTGTCCATCAAGGCTGCACACTGTCTCCACTCATATTCAATTTCATCATAGATACTCTCATGGACATCTCCCTATCATCATCTGATCACAAAAACACTGACCTAATCACAGGAGAATTTTAGTAAGACCTAGAATACTCAGATGGCAAAGTCGTGTTAGGTGAAGACGCTGACAAGATGCAGAGTCTTCAGTGGGAATTTGAGAATGTTTGTGATGAAGTTCTCACCACGTGAATGAAAACTGTTGCTCCAAGATTGGTCTTCAACTGTGCCCCACCGTGGCTAACAATAGAGAGTGTAGTGGCTGAGTGTGTCAACCACTTCACTTCACTCCACTCCACTTCACTTACCTGGGAAGTAGGATCAAGCGTGTCGTGGTGGCTCAGTGGCCGATGAAATTTCTGCACGAATACAAAAGGCTGGACTGGTTTTCGCCAACTTACACCACCTATGGGGCCACCGTGATATCCCATTGTCTATTAGGGTGGTGTGTACTGCACAGCAGTCCACTCTGTTCTACTGTGTGGCTGTGAAACATGACCATTGAAGGTGGAAGACATGAGAAGACTTCAAGTGTTGGACCAGCGTTGCCTTCGTAATATGGGCCGTATTCCGTGGTGTCAACACGTGAGTAACACAGACATCAGGTGTAGAGTTTTAGGGAGAGAGAAGAGGTAAGTCAGTTGACGAGGTAATGAACCTTCATCGATTGAGATGGTTTTGTGGGACACGTATTACGCATACCTAGTCACCGACTGCCTCATCACACAATGTTGGCCGAAGTAGATCCAGGCTGGGAAAGGGTCTAGGTGACCAGACTAAAACATGGCATCAATGTATGCAGTCGCTGACTGTTAGTTTGAGCCATGTGTGACGATGCAGACTGGGTGGTTTGAGTCCACGGGACAAGAGGAACCAGTGGTTGGAGACAAGGTGATGTTATGTCTGAGAACCGATGTCAGTGGCGCAGATGTATATACACACACACACACACACACCTCATCCTCATCTTAATGACGCTATACCGAATCTGGCCATTTTCTCATCCTTCCTTTCTCTCTTTTCGTGCTTTATATTTCTTTTGACTGAATTTTCTTATATTCATCTTGCACTTCACTGCCTTTTTACTTGATGTACTGATATGAGGTGTAGCAATTCGGACCGTTAGGTAGTAATGTCTGTTCGTATATTGATATTCATGATGATGATGAAGTTGAATTCTGAGTTATTTCCATTTTCCATGGCAAATTTATTTGAGTTATGGCATTCACTGGACTTTCGTAGTATTTCTTCAAAGTTAGTGTCAAGTTCTGCTCAAGATTTAAACGGTTCCAAGGAGAAGACATGTGCGATGAAGTAAATGAAGTCGGGCGTGAGAACGAGTACTCAGCAGGGACGTTAGATGGTCATACTATACCGCAAACTGACAGAAATAGAAAAATGTGGACCATCAGATTCTTATTCAGTGATAACGCGCTCACTGGGTTCGATAGCTGGCGGGGTGGGTCACGGGTGAGTACTACTGAGGAGTATCATGTTAGGGTGTTCAGTGGTCACAGATTTCTAATGGTTCTTCAACAGATGACAGTCCTTGATAACTGAGAATATGTCATAATAGACCAAGAACAACTGCATTATCAGAATAGTGTGGATCAATAAAACAGGTTATCGGATTAGACCAACAGCTGACTTTAGAAATACACCAGCAACTATGAGTTATCTAAATGTTTACTCACAGTACTGTGTAGTATTAGAAATCGCTCAAAACCTAAGCTCACCAATTCCAATTGAAGTGAAACACAGCCTCCATACAAATATACCAATAAACAAGACACTTGAAGCAGTCAGAAATGAACTCACTAA